AAGGGTTGTGTTCCTCCCAGGGAATGCTGGACCAGGCGAACAGCATCCTCAGCGAGACCCGACCCCCAAATACTGGTTCCACGGAAAAACCCGAACGCCTGCCCGCGCTGCCTTCGCTCGGGCACAGCTTCCCGCGGGACAGGCACTGCCTGGCAGAGCAGGACTTCCAGCAGGACGCCCTGGGGCACATCCTGCCCCGTCCCCACGGCACGCCTCACCTTCTGAGCCTGGCAGATCATCTTCCTCACCACCTCCTTGATGTGCGCCTGCCCCTCGATGGGCGGCTGCATGTAGACGGTGGCGCGGGTGACCCCGCGGTAGGCGATGGTCTCGGGCCAGCCCAGGTCCAGCTGCGGGATGGAGCGGTCGGACCTCTGGGGCCAGTACTCCAGGGAAGGAGCCATGTCCTGCTCGTCCCCTTGGCTGTTGCCATCCCCTTCGCTCCCCCCTGTGCTGCCGCCGTGGCGCGGGATGTACTCGGAGCCGGGGTCGTACGTCTCCAGCGTGTCCAGGATCTTCTTGAGCTCCAGCTCGGAGAGGAAGTCCCTGATGTTCTCCCTCTTCAGGACCTCGTAGAAGGCGTCGCGGCCACGGGAGGCCAGCGCCTCCAGGGCCAGGCGTTGCTCCTCGCTGTAGAAGAACTCAGGCTTGGACTCGCTGGACCTCCAGTTGACGTGGCTGTCGTCCAGGCACTGCACCTGGGAGAAAGCCATGGTGACCGCGCGCCTCTCCCGGGGGAGCTCTGTGCCCCCAGCGAGCGCCGGATGTCGGCAATAAATAAGGAATTAATTATTCTCCAGTCTTTAAACACACGATCCCCTTTGCTTCGCCCTCCCTGGCTCGACGGGCAGCTTGGGAAAGGCAGCGCTCCCTTTTCCAACGGCTCCTGCCACGCCGGAGCTCCTCTCTGCCGGGGAGGAGGATTTGGTTTCTGGCTTGCTCCCGGCTCCACGGGGTGAGAGGGCTCCAGGCAAGATAAACACGGAGCTTCCCACGGCCGGGGCTGTGTGACGGGGCAGAGACAGCCCCGGGTGTATGAGCACCGCCAGGAAGGTCCTTCACCTCCGAGTCCACGCTCTCCTCATCCTCCGCTCTCCCAAGACAACGATAACGCACCCGACGAAATAAAAAGTGGGGAAAAAAAAGAAACAAAGAGAAAACTGGCTTAATGAAGGGCAGCGAGAAGCAGGATTTCTCGGCCGAGACGCCGTCCCTGGTTATCCCCCCTGGAACAGCGGGTCAGCCCGTGGGTCTGGTGGCGAACGCTCCCCGTCAGCCTCCTGTGCATCGCCCTGGCTGGCAGGTCGATGGCTCGGGGCTCCTGCCAGCGCGCAGTGCCGGGGCCGGACAGGTAACAGCAAGAAGTGAAAAGAGGAAAAGGAAAAGAGTGATTCATCCCTCCGCCCTGCCCCACCTGCAGTCACATGTTGCCTTCACACATTCCCTGCCCTGCCCCGATTAACTCTTTCGGCTGGTGTGTCCTCACGCCTCAGACCCGGAGCCTGGGAACCCCCCGGAGGGTGCCGGAGGGTGGTGGGAGGCTGGGGAGGGCTTTGGGTGTTCGTCTTAAAAAAAAAAAAAAAAAAAAGAAAAGCGCGCCTCTCTCCTGAAATCCCTCCCTCTCCCGGTGTGCCAGCTGGTAAGTCAATATTTTCCAGGAAAACAGCTCTGTCCTGTGGTTAACCCCTCCTGTGCTGGTGTGGGAGCTCGGAGCCCAGGTGGGTCCCAGGGGGCAGCACCGGGTCGGAGCTGCTCGAAGGCAGATTTAGACAGGATAGCAGGAAGCATTTCTTTAGGGAGAGGATGGTTCAGTCCTGGAACAGGCTTCCTAGAGAAGTGGTCAATGCTCCAAACCTGTCAGTGTTTAAGAGGCATTTAGACAATGCCCTTAATTTTTTTATCAGCCCTGAATTGGTCAGGCAGTGGGACCAGATCACTGCAGGGCTTTTCCAACTGAAAATATTCTATTCTGTCCTGTCCTGTCCTGTCTGGTCCCTTCCTCTATAAAGTTTGCAGCATGGACATGGACATGGTCACGTCACCAGACCTCGCTACGGCAGATTTCATTCACAACTGGGAGATGGACAAAAAAAACCCCACCCTGGATTCACCAGTTGGGGCTCACAAGCCAGAAACGTGGACCTTTCTCCTGGAAGCTCAGATGAAGACGAATTTCAGGAATTGGGGTCAGATTCTTGCGCCAATGCAAAAAAAAGGAAAGTGCCATGGGCTGTGTCTCGCTGCCTCCCTCGCGTTGGTGCGGCTCATCTGGATCTGCAGCCGGATAAATGAGGGCCCTGCTTGAGTCAGGCTCCTGAGGCGAAGCCGCCCGTCTGCCCGGCTGCCCGGCCATCAAAGTGCTCCTCTCTGCAGGCACAGTGGCCCTGCTCATCCCATGGTGACAAGTCAGGTGAGGGGCTGTGCCCAGCCCGGCTTTGTCCTGTGCAGGAGGCGGCAGCGGGGCTGGGGGACACAGGGATGTGACAGCTGTCTGTTGGGATCATGGAATCATTTAGGCTGGGGAAGCCCTCTAAGATCATCAAGTCCAACCCAGCACTGCCAGGTCCAGCGCTAAACCATGTCCCCAGGTGCCACATCTACGGTGTAGGGGGGAATTAAGCATTTGGCTCCCACCAAATAGCAGCTCAGGAGGTGCTTCAGGTGGACCTGACGAATTTATGGAAAGGCTGTGCTGACTCCTTAGGGATTTTCCGGTGGTGGGATGTCACTTCCATGCTGTGGCCTGGCCAGTGAGTGGTACAGCAGAGACTGAGGGCACTGGAGCCAAAACTGGATGTTTTAGGTGAAATTCCAGCCCTGATGAGCAGAGGACAGTACATGTGACAAAGCCAAGCACTGAGCCAGCACCCACGGAGGGCTCCAGGGCCTCATTCCAGTTGTTGTCCCCCCTTGGGTAGGTTGGGAGATGCCCTGGCTCGGTGCATGGAGCGTGGGTGTGTGTGGCGTGGCTGGAGTGTGCTGTGGTTGTCCCCACCTCAGCCACTGCCACCCGCTCCGGCTGTTTTTATTGTGCCAGGAGATTTACGGGCTCTTTTGCGGGGTGTGTGTGCTAATGATTTATTGCCTGTGGTGTAAGTGCTGCATCCCATCCATCGTGTGATGCACTGGCTCCTGGAGACAGCTGGTAGGGGCGGATTGGGATGGCAGAGCTCCACACCTGGAGCATCACCTGATCCCTGTATGGGGCGAAGACACCTGGATCCCCCATCCCCAGTTCCTGGGGGCTTGTTCACCCAGNNGTCTTTATTGTGCCAGGAGATTTACGGGCTCTTTTGCGGGGTGTGTGTGCTAATGATTTATTGCCTGTGGTGTAAGTGCTGCATCCCATCCATCGTGTGATGCACTGGCTCCTGGAGACAGCTGGTGGGGGCTGGTTGGGATGGCAGAGCTCCACACCTGGAGCATCACCTGATCCCTGTATGGGGCAAAGACACCTGGATCCCCCATCCCCAGTTCCTGGGGGCTTGTTCACCCAGGAGTCTTTGCCCCACACAGTGAATTAAGCGCCCAAATTCAGCCCCTGTTTGCAGGGACAGGTTGCTGTGCCTGAGCAGGTCAGTCCTCCCCATTCCCAGTGTCCCTGGGCTGATCCAGCTGGACAGGCAGTGCCTGGTGCAGACACAGCCCCTCTCCTGCAGCCAGCTCCTCCCGGCTGCAGAGGGGAGCAGTCATTACAAGCTCCTAATTAATTTTCCATCTCTAGCAGAGGGCCTAAAAGAGGCAGTGGGGCCCAGCACTGGGCTCTGCTCCTGGCTTGGGGGCTCTGACCGCTCCGTTGGGCTTGGCTCCCGCTTCCCGCACGCTCCGGGGTCCCACCGAGGGGTTCCGTGGCTGAGCTGAGCCCTGGGATGGGTGTTTCAGCAGGAATATAACACCCAGACAACTGCCTTGCCCTCTGGAGCGCCTTCCACCCTCCAGCCACCAACCATTTGCATGGAGCCGAGCACAAGGTGGTGGTTTGGAGGGGAAACTGAGGCAGGGACGGTGATGGCAGCTTTACTCACAGCTCCTGGGGAACAGAGTCACCGGAGCCCCGGCGCTGGCTCTCACCTTGGGGAAAGGCGGCCCAGGCTGGGAGTTTTTGACATCCCTGGGATGTGCTGAGCATTGCCTGTGATCTGCCCCCACCGTGTCCCGCTCCCAGTGCACCCCATACTCCTTTAGGGAAAGCCCCAAGGTGTCACCAGCTGGTGTTTCAGGCAAACCGGGGGTGAGGGCTGCCCCCTGCTTGGGTTGGGGGTCACCACATGAGAGAACCAGGATGATGCTCCCCGTCATCACAGGGATCACCCGTGCTCGTCCCCGTGCTCCTGGGAGGGCGGGTGTGGACCGGGGAGCCAGGCAGCCCATCCATATTTATGCCTGACGTTAATTTCCATCCATTTCAATATTTTATGAGCATAACAATAAAAAAAAAAGAAAGGGTTCAGTGCTCGTTGAGCCATAGAAATAATTGGGTGTTGATGGCCCTGGCATGGTGCCACGTGTGTCCTGGGAGTTGCTGGTGCTGCCCATGCCTGAGAAATTGCCACAACAGTGCAGGAACCTGGATGGCCCCATGTGTATGGGGATGGACAGTGCCTGCCCTGGGGCTCTGTGACCTCTGGCTGTGGCCCCGGGTCCTGGTGGGGCTCTGGAGGTCCCCCCAGGGCAGTTGTCACTGGATTTAATGTGGTGGTAGATCCAACTGGTGCTGAGCCAGGTAAGAGCAGCAGGAGGTGAGGGGATGCTGCTGGGATGGATCTCGCTGATGGAGAGAGATGGTGTTGAGGCTGATGAGATAATAAGGTGGGGATGCAGAGGTGGATTTCCACACAGGGTGTGCTCCCTGTTTCTCCACCCCGTCCCCTGCAAAGGTCTGGGCACCATGGCCATGGTGAAGGGTCAATATCTGCCGCAGTGGGAGCGGGTGAGAGGGGGTGCAGGGCTGGCCCCTGCCCTGTGAGGGGTCTCAACATGTCACTGCTTCTGTCCCTCAGATTCCGTGGCCTGTGTGGACCCCGAGGAGTGCACCCGTGTCTGCGGGGCCGCCGTGGGCTGTTCCAACATCGCCTACCCCAAGCTGGTGGTGGAGCTGATGCCCAGCGGTAGGTGGGTGGGAGGGGGTCACCCCATCTCCACCGGGCTCTGCTGCACCCTGGGGCTGCTGCCATGGCTTGACTGTTGGGGGGGACCCCATGGATGGTCTGGGTGGGTTGGTGCTTGGGACAGCCCACGCAGCCCCTCCGAGGGCGGCTCCAAAAGTGAGGTCAGGGGATGTGGGTGACCCTGTGGGTGACAGCAGGGTCTCGGCATCCCGTGGTGCAGCTGGGGGTTCCCAAACCCCATCCCTGCCCCAGGGGAGACCCCAGAGCGTGCCTGCAGAGGGTTAGGCATTATCCTGGGGTTGTCCCATGCCACCTCTCCCAGTTCAGCCGCTCCCTGACACTTCCTCTCCTCCCCAGGGCTGCGGGGTCTGATGATCGCGGTGATGATGGCAGCACTCATGTCATCCCTGACCTCCATATTCAACAGCAGCAGCACCCTCTTCACCATGGACATCTGGAGGAAGCTGCGGCCGGGGGCCGGTGACCGGGAGCTGCTCCTCGTGGGCAGGTAGTGACCGGGGGTTTCGGGGAGACTGGTGGGGCCAGTCCAGCCTGAAAAATGCCTGTGCTCAGCCTGGTTTGTGCACGGAAAACAAGCCCTT